GGGGGGGGGGGGGGGGCGGTAGCCCCCCAGTTTTTTTGGGCAGTCGGGCAATATTCGATTAACAGTCGGGCAATTTTGGGTTGTTAAAAAAAAAAAATCGAACCAATTCAGTCAATTTTTTCGAAAATTTAGTCAATTTTGTGGCAAATGTAGTGTTTTTTGTCCGGAAAATTTTTTTGACCCCTTAAATGGTACACTGACCGAAATTTTTTTGGCGACGGGGGGGGGAGGGGGGAGGTCGCCAAAATAAATTTTCCGGGAAAATTTTTTATACTAGTCGGGCACAATAACGAAAAGTCGGGCGATTTTACGAAAAGTCGGGCAATTTTCTTTCCGCCCTCCTAATTTTTTCCTTCCCGTACGCCCATGGTTGAACATGCGCATTAAACACGCTTTAATGTGGTTGAACATGCGTAGTATATCATTTCGCATCCCACAAGCGAAAAAGCGGATATTACTGTATAAATTCCTTGCACAAGCAAGTTTGATGGTTGGTTCAGCTAGTCCTCGTGCACCGAATGATAAATACTCTACACAAAGGTAGAGTTTGACGGGCTCTCTGAGGTACACGGCTGTCGTCCATTTCAGTCTTTCTCGACTCAGAGACGTGCTGCGTTTTCTAGTCGCAAATTCAAGTCCCGAATTCAAGACTTATGCCAGATCTTGAATTGAAAATGTAAGACGCGGTCTTACATTTGAATGTAAAACCCGGTACCGGTCTTACATTCAAATGTAAGACCCGTCCCGGGTCTTACATTTTCAGTTCAGCCTTCAGACCCTGGTCTTTAGTCGGAAACCAAAACCGACCGAGAACAATAGAAAATGGGTGTGGTAGGTATATAATTTGGTAAGAATCTAAAAGCAAGGGGCAGGAATTCGATACCTTCACAGGGAAAAGTGGGGTTGGTGAACAGAATTGAATACTTCGTTAAAAATTCAAGGTATCTAACTCTATAGTGGCCCCTAAAAGGGGTCACTATGGAATTAGATACCTTGCATTTTTAATTAGGCATTCCATTCTATTCATCAACCCCGCTTTTCCCTGTGGAGATATCAAATCCCTCGCCTTGCTTTTAGATTCTTACCCAAATAAAACCCTATTGAGAACAATAGATATCCGCACAAATCCATAATGGACTTATGAGATACAAATATTTTAACCCATATGTTCCTAGAATATGATACCGGTTTGCCGAGAAGCTCATCTGAATGGGATGAAGTATTCTGTGTTCATATGACTATTTTCCCCACTTACATAATGTTCCTTCTCGGTGAGACAAAATATGTAAACTGCCTTAGGTTGTCTTAGGTCAAAATCAGCAAAAAATGTCCAAGTGGAATGAGTGTCCATATGAAAAAATCTATCGCACCTGACTGAGATAGATTGACTTCATTGCTAAATTAACGTTTATTCCACCTTCTCGTGCACGCCTTTCACATGGGCCCATGCACCTTGTTTGTTTGAATTCCCATGCTCCTTCGGGAAGTTATTGACAGGAATAATAAATTTTATGGAGTGTGAAGCAAAAGTGGAAGATCGTTCCGTCGTAAATCCATAAACACTATTTGTAAAGCACAAGTGTCATGAGTATCTGCCTTGGGGAGATTAATTAACACTGAATGTAAAGAATCTTTCGAAAAACAACGTAATGTACATCTTTATAATACATTTCAATTGAAAATAAAGACATGGCTTTCTTAGGAATATATTTTATTTTTACGTTAGGTGACCAAAGAAAAACCAGTACCTGGACTAGAATTGCACAAGCATTAAGAATGAAGAACAAACCAAGAAGAACCAACAACTAGAAGCGAACCTTAGCTCCGGACACTCTTATAGAGAAAGCAGTCTGATTCAATTCGCATAAAATATTTCAAAGAGCTTTGATATTAGCCAAGGCATTGAAAGACGGAAAGGGAGTAACCAAAGCAAACCTTGAGTTAGCTGACGCTTATTTATCGAACAATCAGATTGAAACGGCAATGGAATACTACGAAAAAGCCCTGGAAATTGCAATAGAACGAGGAGATAAAGAATACGAAACACGCGCATACCTTGATTTAGGAGTTGCTTATAGCTGGATCAATCATATTCAAACGGCAATAAAATACCATGAAAAAGCTCTGGAAATTGCAATAGAACGAGGAGATAAAAGAGACGAAACACGCGCATACTTTGAGTTAGGAGTTGCTTATAGCTCTAACAACCATATTCAAACGGCAATAAAATACTATGAAAAAGCCCTGGAAATTGCAATAGAACGAGGAGATAAACAAGACGAAACACGCGCATACCTTGACTTGGGAGTGGCTTACAGATTGATCAACCATAATCAAACGGCAATAAAATACCATGAAAAAGCCCTGGAAATTGCAATAGAACGAGCAGATAAAGAAGACGAAACACGCGCATACCTTGAGTTAGGAGTTGCTTATAGCTCCAACAATGATATTCAAACAGCAATAAAATATCATGAAAAAGCCCTGGAAATTGCAATAGAACGAGGAGATGAAAAAGACGAAACACGCGCATACCTTGACTTAGGAGTGGCTTACAAATTGATCAATCATAATCAAACTGCAATAAAATACTATGAAAAAGCCCTGCAAATTGAATAAAACGGGCAAGTAAAGAAGACGAAACACGTGCATACCTTGACTTAGGAGTTGCTTATAGCTCAAACAATCATGTTCAAACGGCAATAAAATACCATGAAAAATCCCTGGAAACTGCAATAGAACGAAGAGATAAAAAAGACGAAACAAGTGCATACCTTGAGTTAGGATTCGCTTTTAACTCTAACAATCATATTCAAACAGCAATAAAATACCATGAAAAAGCTCTGGAAATTGCAATAGAACGAGGAGATAAAAAAGATGAAACACGCGCATATATTGAGTTAGGAGTTGCTTATAGCTCTAACAATCATATTCAAACGGCAATAAAATACTATGAAAAAGCCCTGGAAATTGCAATAGAACGAGAAGATAAAGAAGACGAAACTCGCGCATACCTTGACTTAGGAGTGGCTTACAGATTGATCAATCATAATGAAACGGGAATAAAATACCATGAAAAAGCCCTGGAAATTGCAATAGAGCGAGGAGATAAAGAAGACGAAACTCGCGCATACCTTGAGTTAGGAGTTGCTTATAGCTCCAACAACCATATTCAAACGGCAATAAAATACAATGAAAAAGCCCTGGAAATTGCATTAGAACGGGAAGATAAAGAAGACGAAACACGCGCATACCTTCAGTTAGGAGTTGCTTATAGCTTGAATAATCATATTCAAACGGCAATAAAATACGATGAAAAAGCCCTGGAAATTTCAATAGAACGAGGAAATAAACAAAACGAAACATGCGCATATCTTGACTTAGGGGAGGCTTACAGATTGAACAATCAGATTCAAACGGCAATAAAATACGATGAAAAAGCCCTGGAAATTGCAATAGAACGAGGAGATAGACAAAACGAAACACGCGCATACCTTGATTTAGGAGTTGCCAATATTTTGAACCATGAGATTCAAACAGCAGTAAAGTACTATCAAAAAGCATTGGGAATTGCAATAGAACGAAGAGATAAAGAATACGAAACATACGCATACCTTTACTTAGGAGCTGCTTATAGATTGAACAATCAGATTGAAACGGCAATAAAATACGATGAAAAAGGCTTAGAAATTGCAAAAGAACAAGGAGATAAAGAAAACGAGACACGCGCATACCTTCATTTAGGAGTTGCTTATAGATTGAACAATCATATTCAAACGGCGATAAAATTCGACGAAAAAGTCTTGGAAATTTCAATACAACGAGGAGATAAAGAATGCGAAACACGCGCATACCTTGAGTTAGGAGTGGCTTATAGATTGAACAATCATATTCAAACGACAATAAAATACGAGGAAAAAGCCCTGGAAATTTCAATAGAACGAGGAAATAAACAAAACGAAACATGCGCATACCTTGAATTAGGAGTTGCTTATAGGTTGAACAATCAAATTGAAACGGCAATAAGATACGGTGAAAAAGCCCTAAATGTTGCAACAGAACGAGCAGACAAAGAAGACGAAACTCGCGCATACCTTGAGTTAGGAGTGGCTTACAGATTGAACAATCAGATTGAAACAGCAATAAAATACAATGAAAAAGCCTTGGAAATTGCAAAAGAACGTGGAGATAAAGAAAACGAAACACGCGCATACCTTGACTTAGGAGCTGCTTATAGATTGAACAATCATATTCAAACGGCAATAAAATACGATGAAAAAGCCCTGGAAATTGCAATAGAACGAGGAAATAAACAAAACGAAACATGCGCATACCTTGAATTAGGAATCGCTTATAGGTTGAACAATCATATTGAAACGGCAATAAAATACGGTGAAAAAGCCCTAAATGTTGCAATAGAACGAGTAGACAAAGAAGACGAAACTCGCGCATACCTTGAGTTAGGTGTGGCTTACAGATTGAACAATCAGATTCAAACGGCAATAAAATACCATGAAAAAGCCTTGGAAATTGCAAAAGAACGTGGAGATAAAGAAAACGAAACACACGCATACCTTGACTTAGGAGCTGCTTATAGATTGAACAATCTGATTCAAGCGGCAATAGAATACAATGAAAAAGCCCTGGAAATTGCAATAGAACGAGGAGATAAACAAAACGAAACACGCGCATACATTGGACCATCAGATTCAAACGGCATTGGAATACGGTGAAAAAGCATTAAAAATTTCAAAGGAAAGAGTAGATAAACAAGAGGAAGCACGCGCTTACATTGGGTTGGGAAATGCTTATAGATCAGTCAATGAGATTCAAACTGCAAAGGAATACTATAAAAAAGCCTTGGAAATTGCTAAAGAACGAGGATATAAATATTGGGAAAACTTGACAAGAAACGTGATTGAAGAACTTTCAAGAATTATAGGTACAGTAGCTTTTTAATCTCCTTCCCAAGTAGGAGCTGGTCACGTGATCTATTATGATGTAGCAAATTTTTAATTAATTAGCGTTGTTATGTAAAATTAGTAGGGCTGGGGAATGTACCATTTGGCTTTTGTGATGTGTGCACGTGTTGTTCGCTTCAATAAACATGACAAAATATGCCAAATTTTAGCAGATCACATGACTGGCCTCTACATGGGTCTTTCCTCTTTCTGGGTGTTTTCATGAATTTTTAAAACCCAAAAAGCGTCTGAAATTCATTGTGAAATATGGAACTAATTGAAGCCGTGGAAGGCTGAGAATTATCCAAGAAAACATAGTCCATTTAATTCTCCTTGTTATATCAAAATGTACTACTTGTTATTTCACTTATTTACCGGCTTCAATTATTTATAGAACTGAAAAATGAAGCTGAGGGTGGCAAGTGCATGGGAACGACCAACATGGCCGCCATCTATTTAAATGGGGGTAACCGCTGGAATATTCTTGGCTTCAATTTTACTAAAAGAGATGCGCTATCTAGTGTATATAAGATATCTATGATTTAAACCCCCCCAAATACTCTTTCCTGCGTTTTATATGTGTCTTCGTGAGCGAAATTTCTGACTTTCATTCGCATTCTCGCAAAATATTCTGGTTTGCATTGCGCTTCTTAGTTTTTTTTTAGTTTCGTTTCAGTTTTTTTAGTTTTTTTTCTTCTGGTTTGTATTGCGCTTCTTAGTTTTTTCATCTTTATACCTTAGTGATAAACGCCGGCCCGCTCTTGAAGATTTCTCAGCCAATCAGATTATTCTATTCTCACAGCTAAAAATACTATTTCTTGCTTAAAATAGGTAGAACGTATAACAAATCTTCAGGGAACTCCTTTCTGACTTGCTTCGATGTTTTAAATAGTTGGGAGATGTTCTGGAAGCATGCGTTAGCATGACTCTATTTTATTTTTTAAATTTAGATGCAGTTGATAAGAACTGTAATGCTACTAGTATTAAAATATCCAATACATCAGACAGCGCTCAATTTAAGAATGAAATTACTGATAATCTGGAGAAAATACACATTGAAAACAAAAGTATCAGCGACGATAGAATTGCCTCTGCAGAACAGTTATTGATCTTGGGACGTTCTTACCAAATGGAGGGCCGAAATGAAGAGGCCATCAAAAGCTACGAACAAGCAATTCAAGTTGTGGATGACATAGATCACAATGACATCAAAGCAAAAGCTTATCAATTCTTGGGAAATGTATCTACTGGAACTTCCGAATATAAGAAAGCAATCGAGTATTATCGGAAGGCTCGTGAAATATCTCCAGACCTCGACGTAGTTGAGGTGGAAGTAATAGCATATCAATGGCTTGGATACAACCACCTGCAGGTTGGTGAGTACGAAGAATCAATAGAGTATTACAAGGAAGTGATAAAACTTGCCTCACAGCTTGGAGACAGAAAGAAGACGCTTACACTTAATGCTTACCTAGGTTTAGGAAGTGCATTTATTTATTCTGGTAACTTTGAATCTTCGCGAAAGTATTTGCTAAAAGCCCTCACAGTAGCACAGCAAATCGACGATAAAGTTCTCCAAAAGGAAGCATACAAAAACTTGGGATATGTATACTGCAAGAGCTGTAACTTTGACGCAGGTGTGAAATCGTATCTGAAAGTTCGAGAAATTTCTCATGATCTTGGTGAGAGAAAAGAAGAAGCTAACGCCTGTCTTATGCTCGGTGCCACCTTTCAAGAATTAAAGCAACACGAGAAAGCCATCGACTCTTACCAACAGACTTTAAAAATCAGTGAAGAATTAGAGGATAAAGAAATGCAAGTAGTTGCAATTCAGAGATTAGGAACATTATATTTAGTGCGTTGTGAAGATTATGATTACGAGGAAGTGATAGAATGGTACGAAAAGGCGTTGGACACTCTTGAAACACAGCCCAGTGATCAACTTCTGCATGTGAAGGCTCTCACCGGTTTGGGAGACAAAGAATTGGGGGACAAAGAACAAGTAGTTGCAATTGAGAGATTAGGAACATTATATTTAACTTTGGCGTCAATTTGTTGTAAGGACTATGATTACAAGAAGGCGATATAATGGTACAACAAGGCGTTGGAAATTCCTGGAACAGAGTCCAATTATCACCTCTTTCGTGAGAAGGTTCTAACTGGTTTGGGCGCTGCCTGGTTCAATCTTGGAGATTCTGAAAAAGCAATTGAATATATCCTCGAAGCTCAAAACGTTGCTGCAAAGGAAGCCGATATCGGTAATATCATTGTTTTTTAACAAATATAGTTATATATCTTTACCGGAAAGCAGTCATGTATATTTTGAACAAGTACATGATTTTAAATATTTTGTATCTCATAAACTGGACAAATTAAATATTGGGCTAACGTAAAGCATTTGGTCTTTGTTCTTAAAGCATATCGTCACTTACTTCCCTCAAGCGCCGAGATTGCTCTAAATTTGGACAAATCTTGTACCAAAACAGTCTGCAGATGCTTCTCAAAATCTTCTATTAGCTTTGAAATTCGATGATTTCTAGCTAGATTTTATCGTCAGCTCAATTTTATCTCCATGAGGTATCCTGAATGCGTAATGAGTTAATGTGTGGACGCACAGATTGGTATAATCGAAGTTGTTTGAAACAAAATATGTAAACAAACACGCGCGTGAGGAAAATGGACTTGACTGCCATTTTAAATAGCAAAAATTTCTGCTGCCATTTACCGAGATTTAAATGTAGTGTATTTAGTAAGCATGCTTTTTAGTTAAGAATATGCTCATGACAAAGTCTAACTTGTTCAGTTTTAAAATATTAATTTTTTTCTTTTTATTTGCAGACTCCAAGAAATTAGGCGCTGCGCATGCTCAAGAAAATTTGCCAGGGCAAAATGCATCATCATCACAAGGACTAGGTAAAGTGCAAGAATATTTACAGACTAGCAAGTTTTCTATGACAAGTTTTTATGTGACAATTTTTTCTAAAAATTTGACAATTTTTTCTTTGACAAGTGCACTTGTTCAAATGCTAGCATGCTACCTTTTGAACAAGTGCACTTATCATAGAAAAAATTGTCAAAGTACAAATTTTGTTTGTCTGTATGGGCCAACAAAGAAAACTTGTCAAAGTAATCTGAGAATTTGATGTGATTGGCCAGTGGACTATTCATAATTTTTCTGTCATGGCGGCGATAAACACCTTTTCGACTTTCCCTGACACGTTCACACCAGTAAATAAAACTTGTCGTATGAAAACTTGTCATCTAAAATTTGTTACATATACACGCGTGCACTTGGCAAATAAAACTTGTCACATAAAAACTTGTCATAGAAAACTTGAACGTCTGCATGTAACCGGCTTAAAGTGCATATGACATGAAATTTCTTATTTTCTTATTAAATGAAAGAACCCTTTAAGCTGTAGTGTAACTTATTTTTCAGTTTCTTGTTTTTATGGTTTGTTCCCGAGATATTTCAATTTGTTTGACATGTAAATGAGTGTGAATATAATTGTTTTTGTTTGTGGAAACACCACGTAAATTTATTACGGCAAAGCTTTCGATCCGTAAGCCCGGATTTTCATCAGTGCTAATAATATGATAATATCATAATATCATATTATTAGCACTGATGAAGATCCGGGCTTACGGATCGAAAGCTTTGCAGTAATAAATTTACGTGGTGTTTCCACAAACAAAAACAATTATATTTTATCGCCATGCAAACATTCAAAGAGTGTGAATATGTCCACTAATTTATGACGTCACGTTGGTTGCAGGCTCCTTAAAACTGTTGAATATTTCTGCTATCATCCAGGATAATCATTTCAAACTTCACTCACTGATAAATGTTATGAAATACAGGACAAAAACGTAAACTGATATCTACAGTTTTTAGAGTTAATAGATTTATAGTCGGTGTAAGTTGAGCTTGCAATCAACGTGATGTCATAAATTAATTAGCAGACATGTTCACACTCATTTACATATCAAACAAATCATACCATACCAACAACAAACCATAAAAACAAGAAACTGATAAATAAGTTACACTACAGCTTAAAGAGTTCTTTCATTTAAGAAAATAAAAAAATTCATGTCATATGCACTTTAACAGATGTTAAAGAAGAGAACGTCATTCTGGCTCAATAAACAGAGCTAATTATTGGTAAGACACTTTATACACTTCACTACCAACCACAATGAAATTATTCGCTTATATTGAGCAAAATATAAAGTAAAAAATATGTACCTGTAAATATGTACAATAAAAATGTGTACCTATAATTCCAGTACCAGTGTTGCATGCTAACTAAGTTGAGATCAATGCAGTTCTTTGAAGACACGAGCACAGAAACCTTGAGAAAAATTAACTGGCAAGAAACACAAAAAAAAAATACAATTTCAGTGAAAATCACCTTGTTGTTTACAATTGTAATATTTTATATAAGCGATAGTGCAAAATTCTTGACACAAAACAAATGCCAAATGAGTAGAGAATCATGTTTTCACTGCAGTTAAACTTTTTGAGGTGGCTCTCTACAGTTTTAACGTTATAGCGCACAATTCTGCTTTAATGCCAATTATTTTCTTACTTTTGAAGATATGATCACTAAACTCATAGTCTCGCACACAACATTGTGTAAACATTGTGTAATTTTTGCTTTTAAATGATCTAATACTTGAACATTTAAATCTGAAAATATAGCTTTTTCGGAGTTTTATATGTGTCTGAAAGAACTTTCTGACTTTCAGTCGCGTTTCTCTGAAAATATTGTCAATTCTGGTGCACATCGTGCTTAGTATGACGTCTTCAGACTAATTTGATGCAATTCGTTTGAGTATTCTGACTATCGTTAGGCACTAGGCTAAACGGACTTGACTGCCATTTTAAATGAAAGAATATTTATGTGCCATTTACAGAGATTTAAATATTGTGTATTTAGTAAGCATGATTTTTAGTTAAGAATATACTTACAACAAGTCTTGTTCATTGAGATTTCAGTTCTTAAATTTCCATTTGTTTTCTTTTTTATGTGCAGACTCAAAGAAAGTTGACACTGCGCATACTCAAAAAACGTTCGAGCCAGGGCAAAGTGCATTGTCATTGCAAGTGCCAGGTAAAGTGCAAGAATAACCAGTGGCGAGCTAGCCATGGCAACTGACAACTATGCTAATAAACCTGCATTTAATTAATAATTATTCGCCGAAGGCGAGGTGATTATCGATGAATAAAAACCGAGAAGAAGTCCAGGTTTTTATTCACGATAATCACCGAGCGTGAGGTGAATAATTGTTTTAGTATAATTTCATAAGTGATTATTTGGAAAAAAAAAGAAAATACACATTTCTTCGTCATTAAATTGACAAAAAGGCTTCGGCCGCCATTTTGAAAATCGCTTACTAGGTGATTATCGCGTAATAATTACCTCAGAGGCAACCAATCAGCGTGGAGAATTTTCAATAATCACCTATGTAATTATACTAAATAATTATGTTAAAGCAATGCATTTCTAAAGGTTTGAATAATTCAAATTATTAAAAATTGCCTAACATCACCTGTTGCTATGGTTTCATTATTATGAAATAACTTCATGCATGCATCACTTTACAATTCGACGCGAAACAGGTTTATGTCTCTCCGATTTTAGTTTTTTTTCTTGTTTAATATCCCTCGTAGGTACTTGGGTCAAGAAAACATAACAATAACATCTCTGTTTTCCAATATTTTTCGTTATGTTCAAATAAAAAAGCATTTTTGAAACCTTATGCATGCTTCGGAGTTACACCAATATTTTTAAATTAATAGATTCCGATGTTAAGGAAGAGAACGTCATTCTGCTTCAAGAAACAGAGCCAGTCATTGGTAAGACGCTTTATGCATTTGACCGTCAATCATGATAAAATTATTGGATTGTACGGGGCAAATAAAATAAAAATGATGTGCCTGTAAGCTACTTAAATCAAATATAAACTACCTGTTCGAATTTAATGTTTGGCGTTAGCTGTTGTTTGTTTAACAATTTCACCTGCATGCATGGTGACATCATTTTTTTATATAAAAGAACATATACTACGGAACTAGTTTTGCATGTTAGTAAATTGTTAGCCTTTGTTATTGAAATGAAATAATTGACAAGCTGTCATGTTAGTTTTTATACACAACGCATTTTAGTCTTTTTTCAGCGTCACGGGACAAAAATAAATTGTTCCTATCAATGCCGAAATTTGCCCAACTATATTGGCTGCAAGTAATTGAATATCCGTACAGAGAAATTTTAACGAACACTGCTGCCCCTAAATATGAGGGCTCAGAAGTAAATGCCCTCTTTAAATGACCGTCTTCATCGCTTCACGTTGTTTCCGGCACCACCGTAAGCGTACATGCAGAAATAATTTAACGTTTTAATATTGACATTAAGGTCATTATGAAAGAACTACATTTTCAGCGACCAGTTCGATTTTCATGAAAAAACTTGCACTTTACGCATGCACTTTATGAAAAACGTGCACTTTATAAAAAAGCTTTTGATTTTTTGCAGAGGAGTGGGCCCGTGTAGATGCATTGATTGAAGAAATGTGTAACCCAAGTAGAACAGAAAAATTACCTAGTGAAGACTTGGTTCGTATGGAGAAATACATCGAAATTTTTTCTTTATATGCGTATACTCGCCAAATATCAGCTAAGGAACCTTTCACCAAGAAAGTCCGTAAAGCCATGACAGAAGATGTTAAAACCTTGGCTCACACAAACGTATTGGGTAAGAGCGTTCATAAACGTGGTGGAAATGATGGAAAATTTGCCAATGGAGATGAACAAATTTTAAACTTTGCAAGAACCGAAGCATCTAAAAATGTTTCAGTTCAAAAGCTTGCAAGACTGAATCAAACTTTGGCATCCTATATGAGATCCATTGGTCAAATTAAATGTGGTCGTTTCCAAGGAACATGCTTCCTTGTCACAGAAGAGCTGGTATTAACTAACTACCATGTTTTCAGAATGATAAAAGAAGAGAGAAATTATCTTCAAAATCCCAACTTGTCCATAACCGTTTCATTTGATTATCTCCACCTCGAACAAACAGAGCATGTTCTCACTGTAGAAGTTGATGAAGAACGCGATCTCCAGCTTGAGAACCCTTACTTGGATTATAAATTCTTGTGTTTGAAGCAAAACGAAGATCTCAGCGATCGTGTTTCACTTGGACCTATCGTCAGAAATTGGCAATTATCGGATGGTCGAGTTATTATCCTTGGCTACCCGGAAGGAAAGGAAATGCAAGATGAAGTCTGTGTTGTTGTCGGCTATCGCGCCATGCAGGAGACACTGAGGAAAAGAAATGAACTGTTTGCTGGTGTACATATGACCAATGCAGAACATTTACTGGACGGAACTGGCATCAATCAAAGTCGTCTACCGTATGACACTAGTCTTTTCTCTGGTGCTAGCGGTTCTCCTGTTTTTGAAATGAATGGAAACATCGTCGCCATGCACACGCAGGGATATCTTCTAAGACGAAATGAAGGAAATATTCCCAACCAGCCAGAAAATGTTGCGAATCAGGAGCAAGAAAATGTTCCCACACAAGGAAATACCACAACATATTCGCTGATGGAGTTTGGTGTCCAGTTTGTTTCGATATGTGAAGATATGAGGAGATCTCATGGTGAACATGTTGTTAAAGACATTTTTCCAAATTATAAATTGAATCCCGGCGAAGAGTCAATGGATTCAACCTAGTTTTACAACTACACATGCTGAAGAATATGTGCTCACATTTGCATGAAAAGTAAAATTTGATTATTTGTTAGCAAGAGAAGGCATTTTGTGGTCTTGAGAATATATTACAGGCTATCCATGCATCCGTAATGAACAATGTCATTATGATGCATGGATAGCCTGTAATATATATAAAAAGTCTTATGCAACGAAATTCCACAGAATTTTTTATATATTTTTTATGACTGCATTGTAAAATGACCAATGCGATACTTTACCAAACTATGTTAGCTTGTTTTCTTTTTGAGATATTAAACAATGTTTGACACGTAAATCATCCTCACTATGATGTCAGAGTGCAAAATGGTTGCTGAAAAGATTTTATAACTTTATAGATTATTGATTGAAATTTGTCAACATAATGAACGGTTTTATGATTTCGATTGACAATATCCCAAGATCTTGAGGTTTTCAGTCAGAAAGTCGTACAATGTGGCGTCATAATGAGGATCATTTGCATATCAGAAATTGTGAAATATTTCAAAAACGGACCAAGCTAATGCCGGTTTTCCACTTGCGAATTTTTTCGCGGGAAGCGAAATTTTCATTTGTCTTTGGTCTCTCAACTGGAGCCATCTAGTCGGCCGGCCAAGGTGGCAAAAATTGCCTCTAAAGAGAGTTTGATGGCAACTTTATGTTTGAAGCTGGTAACATGCATTTTCTTATAGTTTAAACCTTGGTGAACAAGACTGTATATGATATTTGTGGTGTTACTCTGAGTGTATATCCACACCGGGCGAGCTTGAAAAATATGCCCGGCCACGGTGGGATTCGAACCTACGACCTTTGGAATACTAGCCCAATGCTCTTCCAACTGAGCTACGCGGTCAGGACGGTTCGAGTCAGTGATATTTCGGAACAGTATCTAGT